TGGACAGAGGAGGGGAGGGACTCCCACAGAGAACCCCAGGACTTTAGAATGCTCAGCCTCCCGAAGGGAGGCCGAGATCCACTGCCCGAGTCAGCGGAGACTCTATTTTCCAGCCTCTTCTGTCCTCACGCGAAGGTGAGCACCTTCACGTAGGGCGAGCACCCCGAGCCAATCACGCGAAGGTGAGCGTCCTCACGCGAAGGTGAGCACCCTCACGTAGGGCGAGCACCCCGAGCCAGCTCTGAATGCCAGAACCTGCTGCCCAGCCTCTCTCGCCTTCCCCAGAGACCTTGGGACTGGGAGAAGTTGGTGTCTTCAAGAGAACCCCCTCTCCATGTTGGCCCCCTGTGAATTTGCACCTATAGAGAAGGTTTGGTTTGTCCCTCAGCTGCGGGTGGGGAAGGAGGCTTCTGGCCTGACCCTGGAACCTGGATGGCCCCCCACGGCCTCGGGGAAGCTGAGTGGTGCCACCAAATTGCGCCTCTAGACCCAGAGTCAGAAGGTGCGAGCCGAGACCCAGCACAGGTGACTGGTGCGAGCTGAGACCCAGCACAGGTGACTGCCCCCCGCCCCCACCTCCTCACCTGTCCAATGACAGGACCAGAGCAACTTTTGCTGGAGTGGTTCCTCAGAATATGAGTCCTAGGAGACGTGCTGTTAGGAACAGAAAATTTTGCTGTCACCAAGTGTGTGGAGCACCGATTCTCCCTGAGTCACTGCACGTTAGGCTATTAAGGACTCGGACTCCGAACCCAGCAATAAACGCTGCTGACTGAAAACCACTGTTCACTTAAGAGCCCTCAACGCTGCGTGGAACACGTTAGGAAATGCCAAACCAAGGCTCTTGAGATCCCTGGGGACTGGCGCTCCAGAGTTCCACGTGCTGCGGGGTGCAGGGAAGGGGCAGAGATGGCCCTTCAACCAGCCCACCAGCCAGCTCTGACCCAACACCTAAGAGCCGGGGCTCCCTCTTTTTCATCCCCACTCATCCCACAGCCCAATCCGGCACCTCTCCCGGCTCCGTGCCTCACCTCCCACCTGGACTAGTACAGCTCCCTAGCTGGTCACAGGTTCCACCCCTGCCCTCGCCAACCCGTTATCCATACCAGAGGAAGGGCTTTGAAAACTGCAAAACCAGACCTTGACACTCTCCCGTCTCCAACCCTGCAATGATAATGCAGCCACTATAAAACTAGTGCTCTTCTGTGGCTGGAGGGGGCCCTGCCTCCTCTGCCCTGTCTTGTCCTGTCCCTCTTCTGTCCTCAGCACCTCCCTCCTTTCTGTACACACATTCCCCAGATCACAAGACCATTCTTTCCTGTCCTTCCAGTAAAGCAGGCTCTTGCCCACCTCAGCGCCTTTGACTGGCCTTCTTCTAAGAGCACTCCTCCCCCAAAGTCCTGGGCTGGCTCCTTCCCTCCCGTAGCTCCAGTTCCCTCCTCCCAGACGCCTTCCCCGAGCACCTGACCTACACAGAGGGCCTCACCTCCAGCTGCACGTTAGAGTCAAAACATGTCAATGCTCAGCCAACCGCCCCCCGCTCACCAAGGCATCAGAATCTTTAGGGGGGCTCCCCCAGTGACTCTTAGGAGCAGCAGCTTTGACACCTGAGCCTGTCACATGCCTCATTCACGGGAGTTATCTTATTGGTTCGCTAGTGTGTCTGGAGCCCCCATTAGAATATGGATCCTTAAGGGGAAGAGCTGTGTCTGTCTCATTCACCCTGTATCTCAGAGCCTAGAACAGTGCCTAGTATGTAGTAACTACTTGATATGTATTTGCAGGAAGCAGGAAAGGAGGGGGTAGGTGGAGTCTGGGAAGGTAAGGAAAGGGTTCTTACAGAAGATAAGACAAACCAACTTTGATCCTGCAACTGGAGGTTTCTGGTCCTTAGAAATGACAGCGCTAGCTTGGGGGGATACCCATCTCCCTTGGGTCAGAAAGGCCAATGGAAGCTGTGAACAGTCTCCCCAAGAAAGATGCACACAGCTGTGCAGGCACATGCTGTCATCTGGTAAGGGCGGAGGTCACTAACCCCTGGAAGAACCCAGAGGTTCTTACTTCTCCCATCCCCCATCTGTTTAGAGTAGTGGACCCCATCATTACTGCTCACTGGAATTACCCCAAGAGCTCTCAAACTTGCTGGTGCCTCAGCCCCCGTCCCAGAGATGCTGATTTAATTAGTCCGGGGTACAGCCTGGGCATCAGGGTTTTTTAAATCTCTCCCGGGAATTTTAATGTGTGAAATCCACTGCCGTAGGCTCCGTTCCCCAGCATGGCCTGGTCCCTCTGCTGGAAGTGGGGTGCAGGCAGACCTGGGGTCCCTGGTGCAGCATGGCCTGGCCAGGGAAAATCTCACACAAAGCTTCCAGCACCTCTGCTCCATCATTGACTTCCTGGAGGCACAGTCCCCCTGAGTCATGAACCCCAGAGCAATGTCCGCTGTACAGAAGACCTTTGAGATTGGCGCATTTTTCAAAGTAGCTAGAGAGAGCAACAGCCTGCTGGTCACGCAGCAAGATCGGGGCCGGGCGTGTTGTAGAGTTCTTGGAGATTCTGGGTCCAGAGCTCTTTTCTCTCCACCCGCTGCCCTGTCCCAGCCCACTGGGCCTTCAGCGTAGGGAGGTATTAGAACTGAACTCAGAGTTACCCAGTGACCCTTGGTTCCCTCCCCTGGATCATATCAGCCACATAACCTTGGGAGACACTGCAGAGCTGCCTCCTTATCAGTGAATGGGGATATTCAACCCGCCCGCCCCACATGGTGTGAAAATGACATGCAATCAAGCTGGTGCCAAGGAGGCTTAGTCCATGCTGGCACCCTGGCCCAGCCCTCCCACTCTCCCTGCTTGAAATGCCAAATCTGCCACATCTTACCAGTCATGCGGCCCTGGGCAATCACTTTACCACTGTGCCTCAGCTTTCCAACCTATAAAATGGACTTAATAATGGGTTATGGTGAGGCTTACGTGAGTTAGTATCTATAAAGTGCCTGGCACCCAGTAAATGTCAAATAAATGCTACCAATTACAATAATGACTATCAGGAAGTTGTTGGTTTCCTGACCAACAGTCCAAAGCCCTCTGGGGGACCTGATCCAGCCTCCAGATGTAAGGACTAGTCTGGAGGCCTCTGTGCCAGAGGGTGACCACAGCTGCTCTGAGGCAAGAAGGTAGGGGTTAAGTTAAACAGAGCTGGGCTGAGCTGCCAAAGAAAGGAGGGCCTCTGCCCTTTACATGGGCGGGACCTCCGTCTCCCAGGCTCTGGGCTGTGCCTAAGGGCCTGCCTGAGGCCTGGAGGTCCAGCCAGTCTGGTGAGTTGGACAACTGATCCCGTGGGAGCTCAGTCGGCCTGCTTGGGCAGAACGCAGAGTGAGAGAGCCTGGCCTGGCTGCTCTGCTCTGGAAGCCTGCCTGCCCCCGGGCATTCCACCTGCAAGCCAGTTCTTGGCCACCCGGCTCTCCAGTCCTCTGGACTTTGTCCTGATCGCCCATGAAAAGAGCCTGGTCACAGGTGGCTGTGTTTGTTTTCACATGTGACAGGAGATATATTTCCTGAAACCCTGGCTGACTCCAGGGGCTGGGTTTTAGACTTCCTCACTAGCTTATTTTTCAGTCTCTGGTCTTACTTTTTTATTGTTGTTAACACAGAAAAGAAAAACAAAAGTAAAAAGCTGTTACTCTGGACAACAGGAAAACAGTGAGGCTCTAGGCACGATTAGAATCTCAAGGTTCCTTCGAGACCTAGGTTTGAATCTCAGCTCTGCTTCCTACTAGCTGTGTTGTGACCTACAGCAAGGAAGTTAGTGAACCTCTCTGAGCCCAGCATCTTATTTCTAACACAGGGACACTAGCAGGACCCCTGTCTCACAGGATTGTGGGAGGACAGAGATAAGGTACATAAAGAGTTTTGGGGATTCTGTCAGTTGCTCACAATACAGCGAGAAAATCCCACCATCACGACTTGGAAGAAACATATCCAGATTGGACCCTCACAGAAATCAGAGGATTTCAGAGACCCAAGGCCTCTTTTTTGTCTTACAGATGTGGAACCCAAGGCCTGATGAAGACTAGCTCCTGCCATACGATTCCATGAGCTGGTATGACAGGCTCCCATTCTCCTGAGGACTTAACACCTGGGAGCTGGGACTGACCCCTGGCATGTAGGGGAAGGGGCCAGAGGTACCAGAGGAACGCAGGCAGCAGCCACCCCTGGCAAGACTGTGGCAGAAGAGAGACAGCACCTTATAGTTTGTATCATGTCATTCCCACTGTCCTTCATTTAATCTAACACCCCACCCTTGAGGTATTATTACCACCATTTAACAGATGAAGAGACTGAGACTCAGAGGTTCAGTGGCGTGCCTAAGGCCACACGAGAAAGTGGCTAAGCCCTGATTAAAATTCAGATATGACTTGAGACCAGAGCTCCTTCCTCCTTACCAATTGCCTAAGGGAATGATGTGGGTGGTGGAGCCTGGCCGCCCCATCCTTCTGCATCTCTGTTTGCCTGCCTGACTCCCCATCCTCCCTCAGCTCTGAGGCCTGACTCTTATTTTCTTGTCAGGAAGGAAAAGACCAGCCTTGCCAAACTTGGCCATAGTGTTCCTCTGGTGTGGCTGATGAGGATGACAGATGTGGCCCTTCCCAGCAGGCTTTGATCTAAAACCCAAGCAATGAGACTGGAGGCCTTCAGCATGAAGAAGGGGGCCATTCTGATGGAGGATGCAGTGTGGGGAAGAGCAGACACCTGGAGCCTTCCAGCCGCCTCACCTGGCCCCCATGTAGCCAAAGACTCAAGTTGAGGTGGAGCCATAGCCTCTGGTCTCTCCTCCATGGCTCCCTTTCTCCATGGTTTTTGGCCCTCTTAGCAAGCTGCTTGAGCCCCATGCAGACCCTGCTCCCTCCCAACACTGAGGTCTAAGGCTCACACTAAGATTCACAGTACCAGAAAGGCCTTTGACAACACCTACTTCAGTCCCTATTTCTCAGATAAAGAGAGGACCATGAAGCCCCATCCTTCTAGGAAAAGTGTGTTTAGTGTACATGGTGGGGGCAGGGAGGGGATTGGTTAGAGCCATCAGTGTTTCCCAACCTGTTTCACATCATGGTATACACAGAGAAGTATACATATTTGTCAGCGTACTGGGGTGGAGAGACAAGACTGAGCCTGGTCTGAGGTGACCAGCCCAGGGCTCTGTCCCCAAGGGCTAAGGAGATATTTCAACACATCTGTAACCCATTTGGGCACATTGGCTGGGAAGCCCTAAGTTAGAGGGTTATTTAGGAAGATAAGAGGCTGTCCAGAGGTCCCAGATTCCAGGGGCCCTAACGAGAGGACCCAGATGCCTAGATGGGCTCTCAAGAGTCAGCCACCTTCCAAAGACCCTTCCCCACCCCCACAGCAGGAGGCACAATGAACCAGATCATAGTATGGACTTTGAATTGAGAGACCTAATTCTAATTTCATTTCTTAGAGCCATGTGACCTTTGGCAAGTTGCCTACACACTCTGAGCCTCATCTGTAAAACAGGGATATCAAAGCTTGTCCAGGAAGATGGCAGAATCGACTTGCCAAACCCCAGGCTGTGAGCATGGCAGAGACAGAAGACTCTGGGAAGAGGTCACGTTAGGCAGAGTCCCCTCTTCACATGGC